TTTTTTATGATACATATATATGTGTCTTATGGATGAAAGCCTTCATCTACGTTACTATTCATCTGGCGAAGATGAATACAGCAGCAAAAGTCAGAAAGGGGAAACAACAACCAGTGATAATATGGCAGGAGCATGTGGCGGGCCAGAGGATATACTCGATGAGTCCATTAGTGTTTTGGAATGCAGTAGAGTAACAGTCAGTCGTTCTTGTACACCGTCAATTCGAAGTTATTCTAATACCCCAACCAATTTGGCAAGTACACCATGTTTCAGCAGGACAATCATTCCGACTTTCCTTAGAACACCTTTATCTGGAGAAGTTCGTTCTAGCAGGTCAACTACTCCTGTCACAGAGGGTATATCAAGAAAAGAACAGACTACAGCATCAGCAAACAAGGTAAAACTTTAAAAAATCGATGAAAATTCCAACAATGAAGTGTTTCTTAAGTGTAATATGTTATGATTTAATTTTGTCTATCTGTCTGCTTACAGCGGATACGTTTTTGTCAAAGGTACTTGGAACAGGACACTTTTTTTTAGCCCGACCCCTTTTTCCTAAAATTTGTTATTTTTTGTTTTTCTGTTAATTTCAATTATTTTCGCATTTTTTTTTTGTATTACATGAACATAAATATACTAGAAATAACTTGTATTTGCTATTATCTATCAATTCCAAGTTTTACTTTAGAACTGATATAAAATTGCAAATACACGTTATTTCTAGTATATTTATGTTCATATGATATAGAAAAACGCGAGAAAAAAATGAAATTATAAGAAAACCAAAAAAATAACAAAGTACAGAAAAAAGGGGGAGAGCTAAAACAAAAGTGTCCTGTTCCCAAGTACCAAGGGTTTTTGTTAGAACAGTGTTAGACAAGTGACCATCATAACACACCTTGAAAAAAAAAATATTTAAAAACAAGATGTTTTTGTGCGTAAAAAATTTTTTGCTTTAAAGGTTCAAACAATTTTTTCACATTTCCGGGACAAATATTCTTTCGTGTATCTTTTGTTTTAAAAACTAGCCATTTATAACGTCGTTTTCTTTAACAGTGATGCCGCATTTATCATTAAAGCCCTTTATTATTAAAGCTGTATATATCAATACAATGACTGTCACATAATTGCTTTAGTAAATGTTTATTAAAGTTAAAATAACCGAATCAAAATAAAACTTTCGTAATTGTATACATTTGTATATCAAGTCGAGAATTGTTGCAAATGTAACTAATATTAGTTTTATGGCAGTTACCTCAGCTAATAGCTAGATGATGTGTCTGCACGTCTGCTTAAATAGAATTGTTTGCATAAAACGGCCAAAAGAAAACCAAAGGCGAATGTTTTGAAAATGAAATTGCACAAAGCAAGACATCATTAACCAAATTGGATCTATTGTTTGTACCCAAAAGATACATAGCTTTAATACTCATTTTGTGTTTGGTTAACAATGTTCCTGTATATTTTTTTTCTTAAGTTTTCATATCTTCATAGGTTTCAATCACTGCCTGATTTCGAAACCAACGGTGTGCAAAAATACAGGATAAAATGGTCAATTAATTCGTTTTGCAACTAAATTCAAATTAACAATACTGATATTTGAAATCTGGACAAATCAATTATATATAGTGAATGAAAGAATAAATTTATCTACTTCATTGATATAAGATGTGATGACGCATTCCTGGTAATTGAATCTGCTCAGAAAATAATTCCCCACAAAGATAAAAAGAAACGAAATCTCTTTTACAACTTGTCCTGTACGCTTAGAAATAGTTTAATCTATCAGATTAAAGAAAAATGAAAGCGCCTCTGAGTCGGACAATTGACATATAGATATACTTTGTCTTATATTATGGTGAAATACTGCTTCTATCAATTAATGAATTAATAAAAAAGCATTTAAGGTTAAACATCTTAAAACAATTTCTTTAAGTTATCTTTGAAAAGTAAATGATAACATATGTACAGGTGTTAGTTATCCTTATTCTTTTGTGATCTATATTTTGTCGGTTAGCTGTTCTTTTTTCCGTTTTAATAATTATGAACTTTCAGTTCTTAGTTAAATAAAAAAATAAATAAATTGATTAATGATTTTTGAAACAATGTTTAAAAATAAAGAAGTCATATCATATAACTGAATTAATAAAAAGCAATAACACTTCAAGCCGATTTTTTTAACAGTAATTTTCTATTTTCAGTAAAACCACTTTTCTTTATGTTACCATGGTTACCACGCTTCTTTTTTCTCTTCATGAACACATGTTTTATCATCGTCTCTGATTATTGTTGTGCACACATATGTTCATTATTTTCAAAATTAGCAAAACATTTAAAAGAAAATGGAGACCAATCATTCGCGCTTTTACCATATTGTCTTAATAAACTGTTGCAAAATCAATAGTTGTACAATATGTATCAATCAGTCAATTGATCTTTCGATGAGTAACTAGAAATAATAATTTTTATTTGTCAATTTCAAATCAAAACGGAGGCAAAAGCCGCTAATCGGATTTTCGTTTACGCGTGTTCTTTATCTATGATTATTGTTAAATTGAAACTATGGCCACAATTGAAAATGTTCTTCATTTTTACCATATATTTCATTAAAATTGTGATGTTATCCGTTATTTTGAATTATATTTATGTCACTGATTGTGACCAAACTGATTGATTGATTGATTGTTGGTTGCTTAACGTCCAGTGGCAAATTTTTCATGCATATTCAGGACGATGTGACCAAACTGATCACATTGGTTTATAGTAAATTAATCTCCTGTTAAATCTTAACATTTCCATCTGTTCCAATGGGACCATTTAAAAGCTCTGCTCCGAAAGAAGAAACAAAAGTTTCACATTTTTAGCTATTATACTATAGTTTTGAATTACCAAAAATATTACTCATTCACTTAAAATCTAATTTATTTCATCGTGTATCTAAAATTTCACCTGATAGACCTTTCATAACATTTTTTTGATACTAGTATATAATATATATGAATCGACGATTTGCCGATTGGAAATATGATATCGTAACAAAAAATCTAAAAATGAGTACACAAATATCATACTTTATATACGAAATGTACTATATGAATTTTTTAAAGCACTTTAACCTTTACAAATTTGTATTGCGTTTTGGATAATAAGTACTATAATGATTAATTATGGATAAGGAAAAATTATTATGTCCTATCTAATCAGCATATCTTATATGATATTTTCACCAAAACAGTATTTTTAAGCTGAGTTTTCAACTTTTATTTCTCAGTTTACAACTGAATTATTTTATTTAAAATTGAGAATGGAAATGGGGAATATGTCAAAGAGACAACAACCCGACCAAAGAGCAGACAACAGCCGAAGACCACCAATGGGTCTTCAACGCAGCAAGAAAATCCCGCACACGGAGGTGGTCCTCAGCTTGCCCCTAAATAAAATTGTGTACTAGTTCAGTGAAAATGGACGTCACACTTAACTCCAAAACATTTAAATGAACTAAAATTAAAAAAACATACAAGACTAACAAAGGCCAGAGGCTCCGGACTTGGGACAGGCGCAAAATTGTTGATTATATATTAATCGGCAGGTAAATTTTATATGTTGCTACAATCATGTCCTGTTGTTCGGAGCGCCTTAAGTGCCATATACATATACAATTTTCGTTCGCCCGAGATTTAATCTGGTGCACATCAGTTTGAAAAATCGTGCGCACCACTTTGAAACTAGTGCGCATGAAAAGTCGTCTGTACCATTTATGAAAGTCGTTCGCATTATTTTAAAAGTCCTACACACCATTTTTGAAAGTTTCGCACCAGTTTTTGAAATGACATGCGCATTAGTTTCGAATTCTTGCGCACGATTTTTGAATTTCGTGCGCACCAGTTTTAAAATCCAATGATTTGTATTTTAACAACTAAAGTTTCACGTGTCGGGTGTAAATTGCAGGACAAAAACAATATATGTACATTGTCGGAAAATATAAAATGTATTTGTACTCGCTGCGAAACAGGAGAAAAGCTCGGAGAGCCTCGCTTTTCGTCCTGTTTCTAAAGCTCGTACACATACATCTTATATTTTCCGACAATGTACATACATTGTATATAATATATGTTATGCTTTAAATCTGTTATATACACCACTTGTATACATCGGTGAATGTCATAAATTTATGTGTTTTTTTAGGTACATATATATTCTGAATGACGGATTGATTTAATAGTCTTTTGGTTTTTTAAAAATGATGAACATTGAGTTTTGTAATTCATGTATTTAAATGGTTTAGTTATAATTGTTATTTTTAGATTGACACTTTAACAAAGAAGTCATCTAAATGAAAAGGCAACTGGTAAAAGTGCAAGAAAAACAAATTAATGTTGAAAAGAAAATGGATATTATGATTCAAATACTACAATAAAAAACAAATGAACGAAAAAAGGGAAGCCAAAAGATTAACGTCCCTGCACAAATTGCAGTAAGTAATTATTCATTGTTCAACTTTTAATTAACCTTTTCAAAATATTGCATATTGTACATGTAGTAGGGGATAGTTTATACAATTTTCATTTTTATGTATTGTATCATAACAACTTGAATATTCACTAAGTTTGCGAACCTAAAAATTCAATACTTAGCAAAATGTCATTTATTTCCTTTTTTCACGGATTACAATTTTTTTTCGGACTATGTACAAAGAAGTAATTGTGGTCGGCACAAGATTCGAATACATATTGCACACTTACATTTTGTGTTATAATTGTATAAATATTGCAAAATTTTAGACACTTTGATTACATGTTGTCGTGTTTTAATTAGAACGTAATGAAGTCGTGAAGTTAAGAATGTACATGTATATATATTTTATGTTTGCGACTTTCTACACATATAATTATATAACTTCAGTTCTCAGTTGTTCTTGATGCATGCAATTTAAATGCTTAAGAGCGTATCTTTTTCCTTTCAGCAATCAAGAAGGGATGGTTATCAGCAGGGTATTACTGAAAGGATTTCATCTGGAGAATAAAGAACGAAACTGGCAGTATTTTAAAGTATGTATATGAAATTAAATGTTTTAAAAGTTTCCTTGGAAATTGAAAAAATCTCATGGTTTGTTATTCAAACCAATGTAATTTAATATGTAATGTATGTCCACATTCATCATTAAACGATACGGTTTTTAGGGAAAATGCTCGATTTACGACATTGAAACAGATTTAATTTTGATCATATATCTACTTTGAATCATTAATTATGAAATTCTACTTATTCGAGTATAAATCTTAATTTTGTACACAGCTTTTGGGTCAATTTAAGTGAAAAGTTTGCAGGATATACATGTATATATGTATTTGGTAATCATAGTTCTATTCAGATTCAAACAACATTTTAGCACAAATTGATAATTTTACCGACATTTGTTACACTCTTATTTAAGGAAGCTTTGATTTACAGTAAGACTATTTTTCAAATTACTTTTTTTTAGATATAATTCTGCAGAGAACAAAGAGAAGTCTGGATTCATCATAGAATTTGTAAAAGGCCCAATATCCTGATGAAGTGGAGGGTGTTGTTAGAGGTTTGTAGCCCCCAACCCCCCAACCCTCAAACACAAAATAGTCGAAATTATAGTTCTGCAATACAATTGCTTAGCCTAGAAGGCATGTTTAACTGTCATATTAAGAATGACATCTAAAAAGTTAAAAGTAGTCAAATTCAGTTGATACTTTTTTTTATTTTTGAAAGGAGTGTTACGTTACTGAATAAATCCTAGCTTATGTTAACATTACATTGATTCTGTCGGCTATTTTTTTATAAGAGTGTATTTTTTTTGTGCTGTTTTAGGGAGCAACCATTTAACTTAAAGGGGGGAGGGGGTATGGTTTTTTTGTCTGAGTCAGATTTATTTTTTTCGCCCAAAGCGCTAACATTTTTTTTTTTTTGCAAAATTTAACACTATAAGGTATGGGGGAAATCTGGATTCAGAATATTTTTTTTAGGAAATAACCATACCCCCACCCCCTCTTTGAAATCACATGGTCGATCCCTTGTTGCTACACACCTGTATCTTACCTCTTTTTATTTCGAAACATGACGTTCCAAATTACCATTGAATTTACTTCATATGATTTCGGACCAAGTGTTGAAATGAGTAATCCCATTACCAGGGGCCTGTTTTTCGAAAGTATCTTATGACTTAGACATGTCTTATGATGGTCTTAGGACATGTCATAGTCGTTAGATATGTTGTCGTAAGTGTCCTAAGTTACGATATATCATAACTTTTGTCGTAAACTTAAGACACTAGCTCGCGACATGACTTATGATGGTCTTATGATTATCAACTAGAATTCTAATTACTTTTCATGTATAATTTCATGTACAATGTACATTACAATAAAAATAATAGTTGTGTTGCTCAGTCGGCAAAATATTTAGATTTATTCTTCTCCATTTTGCATTCAAACTTTTTGAATCTCCTGCGACGTAAAGTTTGGACTCCTTTTCTTACTCATGATTTTGAAAAATAAATATACATATTATTTCTTTCCTTATATATTACTTTATTTACGCATTTGCACGAGCATATAAGCAGACACTTTCAGTAATATTTTGAAACGCCATATAATTTCCATATTATAAATAAGTTTTATGTTAATGGATCACATACTAGCAAATGCATACTATCATATAACTTTAATAGATATATTTTGATTTCGATCATATCACATCAAGACATTCTACCATGGACTAACTAAGTGACACTGTTTAGTCTCAAATGGAGACAAGCAATTGTATGTTAAAAAAATATTTCTTTTAAATTGCCTTAAGTAGATTTTTTTTTGTAGAAGGGATAAAGACAAATTTTGAATCGTTCAAAGCAAAGAAACGAAGAGACGAAACTGGTAAACAAGAAGAACATAACAAGAAAATGGCTGTGTACAGCAAGATGAAAAGAGTAAGAACTGATTTTTTTATTATGGTGAACAATTCAGATATAACAGTCAACATAAGAAGCGGATTTAGACGGGAGTTTTATTTAATATTATATACTTATATCACTCTAAACAGGGAACCTCCTTTTAACTTCATTTTCTTTTTGCTTTTCACTAAATTCCTTTTGTGACGCTACAATAAAAAAAGGAAAAAGGTGACCATATCTAACGACGTCACACATATATATATATATACCTCATTTTGCAGATCAGTGAAAAAGTTTGTCTACGTAACGTCTAAACATCAAAATAGAAACAGAGTCCAACACCGAATCTCGTGCAATATAATATTTCTCCACTATTGAATTTTCAATACTCAAAAAGCTCGGCAGGCCTTCACTTGATGTAGCGGTAGAATTTCTCTCTCCCTCTCTCGCCGGTCGGGCTTTTCGATCGAGAGAGAGAGAGAGAGAGAAATTAAATGCTAGGAATTGAGTGTTCTGTTGGATTATATTATATTCATAAATAATATACAGCATGCTTTCTGTCACAGTAATCACTAGTATTGTTTTTACAGACTGCTTTTTGCTGAGGTTATAATAATAATAATAATAAAAATAATAATAATAATAATGATAACAATATCTTTATTGAAAGAGAGTTATTACGGCATATATGGAATCTATTTGTATGTATTCAAAATGAAATTCAAGGGATTTTGATTTGAGCTTTATTCTCTTTTTTTTTTAGAAATTAAACAACAGAAAAAAGGCCCTAAAAGTAAAAGTCCAGTATACCAGAGGAACAAAAAGAAAAGGGATCGAAAAGCCTTGTGGTGCAGAACATGTCTTATGAACAAACAGATTCATAAGACGAAGGATCGTTTATCGTCAGACCTCTGCCTTGGAGGTCTGACGATGTTGATAAATTAGTAAAAAAAACTAGACCAAAAACATGATGGTCAACTAACCAAGAGAAGGAGACGGCAGCAACATAAACGAAAGGTTGGGGCAGTTTCCTCAAGGATAAAACCAGAAGTCGTGCCAGGACATGAATGGGTGTTTAAATAGTTTAAAAATAATGTCAATGATTTAACTTTATTCGTTTTAAGTATACAAGTTTTACCGACCAAAGTAAATGCTACATGTAATTGTTAATAATTTTTACACAATTATTTGTCCCAAACTAAAAAAACAAAAAATCTGATATATCGTTCTATTCTTATATTAACATATTTCAGTCATCACGAAATCAAATAGATGCGAACAAAAAGAGAAAAAATACATCTTCATGTCGGATGTCAACATACCGTCTTCAACAACAACAAGTGGTTAAAAGGAGAAAGTTTTTGATAAAAAATAGTAAAGAAAAGTGCTTCTTGAAACAACAGTATTGTCGTAATGGGCAAAACTATTTAAAAATAACACGAACAATGTACATGTTATTGGCAAAACAAAATATAATACCTTTTTTGATTTGTAACCTAGCATCAAGGAAAATAAATGTTAAAAAAATATGTTTTTATAGAATCTTCATTTTTAGATGGAAAATCTTGTTTTTTTTTAAATATGGAAGTGATACCGAGAAAATAAGCAGTGTATTATTTGCACATAGTAGTAAAAAAAGAAAGAAGACAAAATGGTAATTCTTCGAAATAGTAAGAAACTTGGTATATATTAAATTTCAATGTTTTAAATATTCTTTTGTGCGTAATTATACAATATAAACAAGAAAAAGCTAGATAGCAGTAAATTTTATCTGGTACCCTGATGTAAGCAATCATACAATGCACGTATACACCAGTTGGTTTTACATTTAAAATTCTTGTTTTAGTGGTGAAGCTCTTCATTGTGTATTTGTTATATTATATTGATGTCCATGAGCATAATCAAATATATATTTTGAAATTGATTACACTGATAAAACATATAGACATGTAACTGGGATCTTATATGTGAATCTTTTTTTTTCAATTGATTAAAAACAGTAAGCAATGAAAGGGAAACAACTCTTGTTAAAATAGGAATATTTTTCGTATCTATAAAAATTGAAGAAATTTGGGTTTTTTTTTTAGCTTAAAGGTTTACACGTTTATAATTATTAACATTCTTATAAAAAATAAGTATTAAGATCTTGATTTTTTTATTTTAATAAGAAAGGGGTTGTATATAATTGGGTGCTTGTTAAACCCTCCAAATTACGTTGGATTTTATTATTCAGCTCGAATCTTTGTATTCAAAGGGAAATAACTCTTTCTATTAAAATAGTTGTTAGTTGTAATTAGGTAAGACAATCAAAACAACCACAACAAAAAGGATTCTGCAAATATGTTACTGCTTATTATATTTAAATACTCAGTCCTTTTACATCATGAAGTTGATATGTTTTTGTTCCTTAAAAACAGCTTTAGCAAAAACAAACAAAAATGCACAAAATTAGAGTTTTATAATTGTGTTATGTATGTAGATGTTTTTTTTAAATTATTATAGAACGGAATGTTAGTACTTTAATTTGTCATGTATTTGTAAATTGAAAATAATGAATAAATTTAGCTAAGATTCTAGATAATTGTTTTTTTTTTATTCAGGATTTCGCCATAGTCTAGATCTCCATTACGGGCAGCTTTTTTTATGAATTTCCAGTTGCTCCTCTCACTGTAATATCTTATATTTTGAGGCAATCATGAGTGTTTAATTCGAATTATGGGTTGTGGCAACTTAGGGTGTACAATTATGGCTTTGTTTGTTATACTGAAGTATGTTTGTATAAACAAATATATCTTGCATTATAATAGGGTTCGATTGTAAGAACTGTTACTGGTCATATGTGGATGAAAGCTGCAAATATATACTGTTTTCTGTCGTGAATTTGCAGGTCAATTGGCATATATTTGGTGCACCAAACACGGAGATTACAAAGATTTTTGATAGTAAATGGAGTCAAAATGAGTTTAAATTTGAAGTAAATCAAGTTATTTCACACATTAAATCTTTAAACTTGAAGTTGAATTTGATTTCAATTTGCATTAAATGAAAGTTGATCGTTGTATTAAATTTGTAACTCGATGTTGAATCAGATTTAAAACCACAGTAAACAGCTTACCGTTTGGAATATTATTGACTTTAATTTGTAGTAAATCATGTTTTACAGATTTTCTCTACATTAAATTTGATGTTGTATGTATATTAAACTTTGTTAAATTCGAACATTACTGGACAGTAAATCAGGTGTCAATTCATGAACTTACTGCGTCCAGTAAACTATTTGTAAACTACTATTAAACATTACGTTTACTTGAACTATAAACTACCAGAAAAAAAATAAACTCGGAAATTACGACTGATTTTTAAGTAGTTTATTGATATCTTAAATTAATACTTTCATGCAGTGTTTCCCGTGGCAGTCTAAATTTCTCCGACCTCAATCCCAGACGCCTCTATTACAGAACCTACCCATTGTATTTATTATTAATTTGTTCTCGTCCTGATTATGCATGAAATATTTGCCACACGACGTTAAGCAACCAACAATCAATCAATATATATTTATATATGAATCTTGAAAGTTTTTGTATTGTTTGTGCTTTGTCAGTGTCATATACAAGAGAGTCAATAACAAATTTTCAAACAATGCAATAATTTACAAAAAAACCTAGAACCGGTTTTATGAATCGGAATCTTGAACTCCATACAAATAGAATTTACAGTGAACGCAAATTTTAATCTTATGACGAGTTTCTTCTAATTGAAACCATATTTTTTTCTATTCTGTTATACGTATTACACGTATTATACGAAAGTATTGACATATAATTAATTAGTTTACAATCGGATTGATTATTAGAGAAAATTATCGGAATAGTCTTTTTGTCTTGTTGAAAATTGAAAATCGATTGTTTAAAACGAATGTTGAAATGGAATGTCGACTTCAAATGTTGACAAGAAAAAAAATGATAGAAAAAATTAACAAAAAACCAATTTGCATTTTAAAAAGCATGGCTAATTTTGAAAACCAATATTGAATGCTGAAAACAAATGTTGCATGTTGAAAACGAATGTTGAATGCTGAAAACAAATGTTGAATGTTGAAAATCGAATTTTGAAAACGAATGTTGAATATTGAAAACAATTATTGAATGTTAAAATGAATGATGAATGAAGAAAACGAATATTCAATGTTTAAAACGAATGTTGAACAATTGTTGAATATTTAAAATTTAATGTTGAAAATCGACTTGAAAACGAATGTTGAAAGTTGAAAACGAAAGTTGAATAATGAAAATCGAATGTTGAAAACGAATTTTTGTGTTGAAAGTTGGAAAAAAATTAAAGGAAAACAAATTACAAACCATTAGGGATATTGAATGTCGAGAATGAATGTTGAATGTAGAAATCAAATGACTTAAACGAATTTTGAATGTTGTAAACGAATGTTGAATTTTAAAAACAATTGTTGAATGTTAAAAAAATCGAATGTTGCAAACGAAAAATGAATGATGTAAACGAATGTTCAATGTTAGAAACGAATGTTGAAAATGAATGTTGAAAACAAATTTTGTATATTGAAAACGAATGATGCATGTCAAAAACGACTGTTGAAACTAATGCACAGTTAAAAACGGATGTAAAATGTTGAAAACAATTGCTGGAAACAAACCATTGGAAAAAAAATTTACAGAAAAAAGATGAACGTTGGATGTTGAAAACAAATGTTGAAAATTCAATGTTGAATGACGTAAGCGATTGTGGAATGCTGAAAACGTATGTTGAAGGTTGAAAATCGAATTTTGAAAACGAATGTTGAATATTGAAAACAGTTATTGAATGTTAAAATGAATGATGAATGAAGAAAACGAATATTCAATGTTTAAAACGAATGTTGAATGCTGAAAATCGAATATTGAATGTTGAAAAATAAATGAGCAAACTAATGTTGAAAACGAATGTTGAATATTGAAAACGAGTTGTGTATGTTGAAAATGAATTTTGAATGTTGAAAACGAAAACTGAAGTTGA